GCCAATGTGTATGGTCTTGTTTTCCCCTTTTATAAACCATACATCCTGTGAGTTGGTAAACTGTCCACTTGTTGACATGTGACCTCAATTCTTATGAATTAAGCGGCTAAGGTTTTTTTTCTTTATCATAAAATTTACCACATTATAGTAAAACCACAATAATAATAATAATAATAATAATAATAATAATAATAATAATAATAATAAAAAAAAAAAAAAAAAGTAGCAATAGCATTTCATAATCCCCCGGAATTTGGGAGTGCTTATTTTCACGCATTCATTAAAAAGAGCACTTATTTTAGATCAAGATCACACCGATAGGCACTTAGATGTTTGGAACATATGAATAAGTGCTTTCTCAGGAAATGGAGCTGTTTTTGATAAGGTAAAAATTTAGGCTTTTTTTGAGCATTTTTGAAAGAAACACTTCTTTCACACTCATAATCACTTATTAGGATGCATTTATTAATAAGCAGTTGCATGGGGGGGGGGTTGGTGCTTTCACACTCATAATGAATATGGATCTGCCCCCCACAGACTTGCCCCCAAAAACATCCCACAAAACCTATGCGCGACACGTGCGGTTTATATTTCACGCCGTTTCCAGCACCTCCGTTAATTCTTCTCTCATTCTACGTCGAACTGAAACCCTTCGCACCCAAAAGGGTTTCCAGCACCTCCGGTCGATTAGCTCAGACCTAATCGATTTGCTTGGCGTCCGAGTTGATCGTATTACCTCTACATCACTACCTCTTGCCCCTTCGGTTCATGCTTTACCTACACACTGGACGAGACCTCTTACAGGCTCCATTAAAATTCACTTTGAAAGCACCACTTGTTGGGGGATTCTTCTCACTCACCTTAGCTTGTCTGAAGCTATCCAGTTTGCAATTTCTCTTGGTCTCTCCAATGCTACGTTTGAAGATGATGCAGAAATTATCGTAAAACTCTTGTTGGGGGATTCTTCTCACTCTCCTTGGAGCATTAATCTTAAGCTCATTTCTAGTTGCAGGTGTATTTTGTCGCATCACCCCAATTCCTTCTCAGTTACTTTTGTTCCAATTAAGATCTTACAATCAACTTTGATTGTTGAATGAATTAGTGTGGGCATTTTCCCMMMMAAAAAAAAAWYCACCGCCTGGGCTTAATATATATATATATATATATATATATATATATATATATATATATATGTATATATATTATTTTACTTCTTAAACAACATTAATTGCATAACAAGGTTACGTCGTCGAAGTTTTAGTGGGAAGTAGTTAGAAACTCGAACACTTATTAATCGAAACCGGTTTTCTTTTATTTTACTTCTTAAACAGCATATATCTACTTGCCTCCTGCCGGTATGGTCGTCGGCGTCGGCAAGCGGAACTCGACCGGAGGTACTGAAAACAGAGGTGCTGGAAATCCTTTTAGGCGCTAAGGATTTCAGTTCGAAGTAGAATGGGAGAAGAAACATTTTTGAGCGAGAGAGGAATTAACGGAGGTGCTGGAAATGGCATGAAATGGAGTCCACACGCGTTGCGCTTAGTGCACGTATGTCACAACACGTGTCGCGCATAGATTTTGTGGGACGTTTTTGAGTGGCAAATCTGTTGGGGGCAGATGCGAACCCGGAGGAGATGAGCCATGTTTTTCTGATGACCAGGCATTCAAAATTTTGTGCAGAAAAGTTTTCCACTTTATTCATTTTCCAACGTGCCACAATAATTGCTATGTCGCATGCTCAGAACGGAACAACACTCAACATAATTCGGATTCAGTCCTCGACCTTGTTCACAGCCAGTTGCAGTTGTACGTTGGAAATATCTCCCACGAAAAAAATACAAATAAAAAGATTTATTGATGAACGGCTCCAAAAGGCTGTAAGGACGGTTCTGTGAGGACTGAATCCATACTCCACTTTAACACACCCTTTCATGTCCACCTGTCAAGTCATTAATCAGTTTCTATGAGTTCAGATTTACAAATGCTACTAATACTGTTCCAACCTATCATTACAGTCGCACATTGGGAATATCTCTCATGAATGACAAGGAAGATGTTCCCATTATGTAGCTGCAGTGGCCTAATGGGATAGTGTTGGGAGCTTTCTGTTGGTCGCAAATCCCTACGGTCTTCATTACACTTTACACACAGAAGTGTAAAACAGCCGTACAACATTATCATCGTACTCACACAATCACGTGGATGTTCATGATGAGCAATAGACCTGTTCATGGGCCGGGTAGCCCGACCCAGCCCGCACCACGGTCGGACTTGGTCATGTAAGTAGGCCTGTGGGCCTGACCTCGGGCCTAACACAGTAAGTCTGATTGTGTTTTGGGTCGGGCTCGAGATTTGTCAAAAAAATCCGGCTTGATTCAGTATTATATATTTTATAAAATATATAATATGTATTTTATATATTATATAAAATATATAAATAATATAATATTTATTAAAATATATATTTATAATTTAATATATACATTTTTTATTATTTTCTTTATAATCTCTCTCTCTCTCTCTCTCTCTCTCTCTCTCTCTTCAACCGCTAACAGAATGGGCTAAGTTTTAGGCTTGGGCCCAAGCCCGGGCTTCGGGCTTTTTATGAGGGTCGGGCTCGGGCCCAAGTTGTAGGCCGATGGTTGGGCCGGGCTCAAGCTCGGGCCTTAGAAAATTCTGTTAATCCAGAGTAAAAGTCCGGCCCGGCCCATGAACAGGTCTAATGAGGACCATAACCCATCGCCCATGGTTCTTGGCCCTTCTTGAACAAACAATAGCAATCTATGCATGTGGCTCTGTGGGCATTTATCGATATGTCGTTTATCTGTCCTTTTTCACTTTAAACATTTATTTATACTTTTTAACTGTAAATGTTTCCTGTTTTTGTTGTTTGGTTGGGCTTCACTTTAAATATTTTTTATTCCCTACCTCAGATGAATACCCATTAAAGTGTGTCAGATCAACATTTGGTTTCAATAAACGTCGGGGCATTGGGGGTAGAGGTGTCAATTGGATTGGATTTGGTCCAAACCGATCCAGTCCAATGTGAGTCCACTTAGAAATGGATTGGACCCAATTCAGTCCAAATCTAATACAAACCAAATCGAATCTAATCCATTAAAATGTAAATGGATCCAATCCAAACCAAATAAAATATCAAAAATTATATAAATGCACTTTTGTAGAAGTGCTTTTGTAAACGCACTTTTAGAAAAGTACTTCCATAGACTTTTATAAAGCATTATTTTCGTAAAAGTGTTTTTATAAAAGTGTTTTCATAAAAGTACTTTTGTAAAAATGCTTCCATAAAAGTGCTTTCGTAAAAGTGTTTTTATAAAAGTAATTCTATAGAAGTGCTTTTGTAAAGTACTTTTATAAAGGTACTTCCATAAAAGTTTTTTTTGTAAAAGTGTTTTCCTATAAAAGAACTTTTATAAAAATGCTTTCATAAAAGAACTTTTATAAAATTATTTCTGTAAAAGTGCTTTTATAAAATTACTTTCATAAAAGTGATTTTATATTGGCATCAGTTTTGATTGATTTCAAATTGGGCAAGGGTTTTGGCCTCATGATGAGATTATTGAATATTTGGTTTAGGTTCAATTCAAACCAATAAGAATATAGACCAATTTATTTTGAATTAACCCAATCCAATCCAATAATTATAATGAAATGCCCAAATCTGATTTGATAAAGTTTAGATAAACAAAGCCATGTCAATTGGGAAAAACAAGAATTTATCTGATACGATGTTGCAGAGTTTTTTTAATAAACAAACACAGCATATGTTATTGTGCCGTCACTGCCTTCGTCATTATAATTGTTCGTTATTGTCTGACACGCCTTCTCCATTGATCGGTACTTGAATATTTGCCTTTTTGAGATGTTTGATAAGCTTTAATCAGTGTGTGGTCTGCAGAGAGATGGATTGTATAGTTCCTAGCCATTACTGTTCTAGATTATATACTTACCAGTCAAATTAAAACAAGCTCTGGTGACCAGTGGACTCTAGCAAGCATCCTTTCCATTTTAGACGATAACCGTCAATCCCCACCTCAAAAATTAGAGATGGAGAGAGTTAAGAGGGCTGTTAGTCAAACAAGAATTCAGAGAGAATTAATAGAAAAAAATATTGATTTATAAGATAGATGTCTTTTTTTTAATAAAGTGGTTTTGAAATGAAACTAGAGTAATCCTACACGGCTGCCCTAGTTGGTTTTAAAATAATGCATGTGATTACTGATTAGATTTGGTTTCCTAATTAAAAAATGTTAAATGACACTGAAATTGATTGTGGAACAAGTTTTTATTTTTTCCATTTAGGATTCCATAATTTTATTATAAGGAGAAAAGGTCATCTTAAAATTTTATTGATCAACCATTGTTTAATAAAGGGAAGACTTAGTCCGTCTAAGTGTCTAACCCTATTCCGGACAATGAAACACACATCTTTTCTCTCTCCACCCTCACAAAAAACAAGAAAACAAGGAACAGATATCTCAAAAAATGAAAGGTCAGACTAAGATTATATACAAGACAAGGAAGATTCATGTAGTCTTGCACATCTATTCCCTTCTCTAAGAGTGTGAGAAAATTTGAACTTCATACAAGTGGTCGATAATGGGCAAGTTTAGATACTCTCATATTTGATTTTTTTTTTTTATTTTCCAAAAAAATAGAAAAATAAAAAAAAAAAGTTTAAAATAATCACAAATATCATGAAGGAGTTTTGACATCTAACAAAATCCAAGTCCCATTAGGCATTGCTACCTTAACAAATCTAGATTCAATTTTGAGGGGTCCATAGGTAGAATCCATGTCTAGGGCTTGTAAATATAAGTCAAACCAAATGCAACCATATAAATGAATGCATTTTAGATTTAAATAAAAACCAATTCACTTTTAATCAATTTCATTTTTATAACTAAAATATTACCATGAATCGTTTCTGTTTATCTTGAAACGATTAACAACATTGTTACATATAAAGGTTACGTGGCCTCTTTTCATTGGAAATGCAGTAAGATGTGCAGAGTGAAGAGTACAGGAGATCCTGAGTCGTTGTCCACATCCAACGCTAGTAGCTTCAGCTTCCAGCTTAATAAATGAGCAAAGCTCCCTCCCTATCCGGCCGGGTACCCCAGTCTCTCTGCGCGTCTTTGGAGTCCACCCGAGGAGTCATGGAGGATAATCGTCAGCCACTCCTGTCGAACCGGGATGAAGCGCCATATGAACTAGCCAAGCAGAGGAGAAATAGCTCCTTCGGTTCCTCGTTCACAGCGGAAGCGGGCGATATCGATCCTATAATCAATGCTGGAGACTTCTTTAGAGAGTTCGGGATCGAATCGAGGAAGCTCTGGTTTCTGGCAGGCCCAGCCATCTTCACATCTATTTGTCAGTACTCCCTCGGCGCTATAACACAGGTCTTCGCCGGTCAAGTGGGAACTCTCGACCTCGCAGCCGTCTCCGTCGAGAATTCCGTTATTGCCGGATTCTCCTTCGGTGTTATGGTACTGTACATCACTTCCGTGCTTATGATCTGAATCTCAGACTAACGCCTTCTTGCGTTAATATATACAATTTACTTATACATGTGTTGGAACAGTTGGGCATGGGGAGCGCGCTCGAGACTCTGTGCGGGCAGGCGTTCGGAGCAGGACAGCTCGATATGCTGGGGATCTACATGCAGAGATCGTGGGTCATACTTAATACGACGGCCATCGTATTATGCTTTCTTTACATATTCGCCGGTCCATTTTTGAAACTAATCGGTGAGCAGCATCAGATCGCTGAGGCGGCAGGGAGTTTCTCCGTATGGATGATTCCACAGCTCTTTGCCTATGCTATGAACTTTCCGATTGCCAAGTTCTTGCAGGCTCAGAGCAAGATGATGGTAATGGCAGTGATATCGGCGGTGGCATTAATCCTGCATACTTTCTTCAGCTGGCTATTGATGTTGAGGCTTGGATGGGGTCTGGTGGGGGCGGCTGTGGTTCTCAACGCGTCGTGGATTTTCATCGTGGTGGCTCAGCTGGTTTACATATTTAGCGGCACATGCGGCCGAGCTTGGTCTGGGTTCTCAATGAAGGCCTTTCAGAACCTATGGGGATTCGTTAGGTTATCTCTGGCATCGGCGGTGATGCTCTGGTAACTTTTTCTAATTACTCATTCTCACTCCTCACTCCTCACTAGTCACTACCGCCTCCACCTAACCATTGTTTCCTTGATTCACGTGTTACGACTCTCAGTCGCTGACTCATGCTAGGCTTTAAAAAAATAAATAATAATTAATGACTGATGATCCATCATGGTCCTGACTCATGCTAGTCAGCCTAAGAATCTTTGTTTCGGTCTCTGACTAAATGACACACAGCCTATTGTTTCACCTAAATAATTTAACTTGATGTACCTTCAATTATGATCCATTTATGCTCAGTTTGGAAAGAGGTTTTCTACTTTACAAATTTGTTCCCCTTCCAAACTAAGCCTTAGGAAATGATTTTTTTTTTCAAAATATCGATATTCCCTCTTTTGAGAGAACTGTAAATCAACGCATTAATGAAGTTTTTGGCCTTTTGCCTATAAAAAATAATAATAAAACAATGGGGTCGGGCCTGTTTTATGATTTTATCTCCTCCACGATCTCTTCTCTTTATCTAAATAACAGTTGAAAATGTTGAACTGAAATGCTTATTGCTTTGTCTTTTAAGCAAGTTGTGCACTCCTAACTCCTTTGTTAAGTTAGTTGAATCACTGTATCCTTAAAAATATTAATATTTAATTATTTTATTAATTAAAAGATAAAGCAATAAATGCTACTTCAGTTCAGCAAATTCAGCTATTATCAAATGGGTCCTAAGTGTAAGTGTTGGACTCTGATGATCCATCATTCTAATCTCTACTCGAAGCTTTAAGAGAGCCCATTCGAAATTGTCAGAAACTTAATTATTTAGTTGGTGTTATGATGTAACTCTTCTCATTTCAATCTTACTATGATATACGATGTGCGCAGCTTGGAGGTGTGGTATTTTATGGCTCTAATTCTTTTTGCTGGATATCTGAAGGACGCTGAAGTTTCGGTGGATGCCTTGTCAATATGGTAAGTTCTCTAAGTTTGCCACCTGGCCTTTTATCAAATCAAAAGCAATGGTAGCTCATCTTATTTGTTTTATACACTTGATTGCCTCGTCGCGTCAGGGAGCCTGCCAGTGTACAGGAAAAGCCAAACGGTGGATAAGACATTGAAAAAGAATCTTAGACTTCACGTGATAACATGACCTGATTTCCACCGGCCAGTGCTAGCCAGGGAAACAGGGCTTAGAAGAGCTGGACTGGTAATATAGCAAAATAATGAGAATCGGACCGGCCTAGAAATAATCACCTCTGGACTACACAAGACCTGCCATCTAGAAAAACCGAAACTGACTTAGGATTTTGTCTCTGTCTCCGAGCGATTTCACTTTCACAGATGTTTTCATCTTCATTTTCAGGCTCAGATTGGAAAGAGTATAAATACAAATATACAAAAAAAAATACAATGCATACAAAATAGTACCAATTACAAAATACAAGGTTTTGTATTTTTATTTGTATTTGTACTCCTTCCAAACTGAGCCCAAATGAATTATATATAATAAGAGATTTGCAATGTAGATACATATTTTCTTGAATATCAGAGTAACAACCAAAAGGAAACAGAGCGGAACACATAAGTATTAAACTCCAAACTATATTATACATTTTGGGTAGAAATCCAGTCTTGGGTTTGAAAAGAGACTGTCGGCAAATAAACTCACATCTGCAGAGCCTGCAGTACCCCCTCAACGGTGGATTTATTATAGGTTACAGATGAAAATGATAGTTGTTTTCTGTTGCAGAAAAAACAAGGGAGCTGATGGTTTCCTTTTTGAAAAAAGAAACCTGAATAATTGAAAAATGTACAAGGTTTGCCAGGTGGGAACCCAGAAGAACAATTTCTAGCCAGAAAATGGCTTGCCAAGAAAAACAAAATCTACTCTCTGTTCTTTCAAAGTAGGATCTGTGGAGGTATTAGTGGGTCCTGATCATTTTAATCTAGAGTAGACTGTAGAGGGATAGGTTAAAGGACCCAGATTGGTAGTTGATAGCATAAACATATAGTAGCTTGGAATTTGGATCAGTTGCTGGTTTATGCTGTATTGAATTATTTGATTGAATTTGCAGCATGAACATATTGGGATGGGCAGTTATGGTGGCTCTTGGATGCAATGCAGCCATAAGGTTCGTAACAGAAGCAGAGTAGCTCTCGATCTGTTCATCTCTATATACAAATTGAACGGTAATTATCCCTGATTACTTTGTGCATCTTACAAAAATACAGTGTGAGAATCTCGAATGAACTGGGAGCTGGGCACCCAAGGATTGCGAAGTTTTCAGTCGTCGTGGTTGTGATCACTTCATGTTTGATCGGCCTCCTACTCTCTATCATTCTAATCTCTACTCGAAAGCAATTCCCAGTAATATTTTCAAGCAGTTTGGATGTGAGAAAGCTTGTTTCTGAGCTCACCCCATTGCTTGCCATCTCCATCATCATCAACAATGTCCAACCAGTCCTCTCCGGTACGCATCCACCCAACTCTTCCCAATTCTCAGTCTAGGAGAATTCATGATCTACCCTTTCTTTTATTTGTTATTTTCATTCGGTTCCTCTGATCCGAAGCTATTTTGCAGGGGTGGCCATTGGAGCCGGATGGCAAGCTCTTGTAGCTTATGTCAACATAAGCTGCTACTATTTATTTGGGATTCCTTTGGGGCTCATACTGGGTTATAAGCTCGACATGGGCGTCACGGTAAATAACTAATCAAACACTATCAACTACACAGCATGGCATGTGTTTGGATGAATCTCTCTGATAATTAACTCCCTTTTTTCTGATTTCTCAGGGGATTTGGTATGGAATGCTATCTGGGACCATCTTGCAAACCGCCGTCCTCTTCTGGATGACTTACAGAACTAACTGGAATAAAGAGGTAACTAACCGACCAGACGACTACTTCAATGGCAAATAGGTTTTATAAAATGGGTCTGATCTTTGAGTGATTGGTATGCTGTTTTGAAGGCTTCCATTGCCGGGGACAGGATTAAACAATGGGGAGGAGACGATGGTGACAAAGACGAGGAGCATTGAGAAATAATAATAAATCGGGGAGTGTGGAAGTATCAAATTCCTACGTCCTCTCTTTATTTTGGGATGAAATTGTTTCTGCGAAAAGAGAGCGGGTTTTTCGAAATTCAAAACGTTGAACACCAAATCGATATGGAAAAATCGAGTATTCTGTAAAGTAAAGTGTAAACAACATCTCCACTGTATTATCATCAAGGTTTATTCTACAGAGTGATGCAGTCCTGGTTCAGGAGGCATGCTTCACAATCACAGAAAAAGTGCTGATGAATGCACGCAAGGTAGCAAGAACGGCCACCTATCCGGAGAAGATTATTTAATATTTCAAGTATTAATATTTATTTTTATTCAAAGTTCTAGTACGCATAATCATCAAAATTAAATGCACGCAAGGCATGCAACGAGATCGTTTTTTGAAGCAACCTATTGAATAAAAAATTGTGATGACGATGATGATAACCAACTCGGGTGATCGCATCAACTTAGGTGCGGATCCCATGTATTTTATTACTGGTCTCATGATTCCTGTTGGGGAAATGGGGTCATTGTAACTTTGGAGGAGAAGCTCTAAGACACGTCTAAAGACATTGTCTTTAGAATGTTATTTGCCCCCACTCAGTTGTACTGAGTTTGCTGCTGGGTTACAGGCAAATTCGTTCACAGGATACAACAGAGCCTTGGGCGAGAATCTGCAACCAGCAAAGTTGAAGAGTCTCCAAAGAAACCTTCTATGAGACTGTAGCAGACCAGACTGAGAGAGAGAGAGAGATAGTGAATTTCGAAATTGTGTGTTTTGGAGTCTGATTCATGCTCCTTAAATAATTTGTGAAGAGGTATGAAGAAAAGGTAGGTACTGGTTTAGAGAAGGCACCTTGAACAGTCACAATTTCAAATATTGTGACTGTTTAAAAAGTAGTTAACAGTTGGTGACTGTTAACTTTGAATTGTGCCTCTTGATTACATCCGATCGAATCGTGACCGTTGATCTCATCAACGGTGATCAACGGTCATTAACGCACCAAAACCAGAGCCGCCCATCGCGAGCCACGCGGGTGCGAGCAAAGTGCGCCTCTAAAGCGCCCCATTGCGCCGCACACACACGCGCACGTTGCGCTATATCGAATCCCCATACTCTCTACTAATTATAAAGAGTGTAAATCAGCTCCTATTGAAATACTGAAAACAAAACTTATAATTTTCCAATGTGGGACAAGTTCAAAATTGGGTTTTATAAGAGAAAAACTGATTTTTTCAATCAAGTGTACAGGTGCAATTTCTCATGTAATTGATCAATCAAATCCATTGGATTTAATCTCTCATGAGATTAAAATCCAACAATCCCCCACATTGTTTGATCAATTACATAGTTCTCTCTCAATCCAAACTATTATAACACAATTATGCATACAAAAGGTGTTTATCAACTTAAACCTCTTGTTAGTATAGTTACCGGAGACACCTGTACACACAAAAATGTTCAATCTCTGCAAGAGTTTCAAGTTTTGCTCAGCACTGTTATGGCCATGTGCTTCTTTCCTGGTTTCATGAACAATCCCGAGAGCAAACCCAAACCCTCATGAGAAGCGGCACCACTTCGATGTTCACATAGGTGAAGTTCCACTATGTGCTCCGTTATTTGACACATTTCAGAACTTCATTAAGAGTTTATCTCAACCTCTCATCATAACGGACARCAYTRYTTWTGTTGTGATGGRAAATTTCTCAATGTCAGTGCTAACAGTCACATTGCTGTAACTTGTTGTTACCCATTAAACTCAATACTGATGGTTCATCATCTTGATCGAAGTCATGCTTGCTTCCGCCTCCATTGCAGAATAACGTTCTAAAATTGTTGGAGAAGAATGGGGTCACTGTAACTTTGGAGGAGAAGCTCTGAGGCGCGTCTGAAGACACTGTCTTTAGAACATTATTTGCCCCCATTCAGTTGTACAGAGTTTGCTGCTAGGTTATAGGCAAATTCGTTCACAGGATACCTTGGGCGAGAATCTACAACCAGCAAAGTTGAAGAGTCTCCAAAGAAACCTTCTATGAGACTGTAGCAGACCGGACTGAGAGAAAGAGAGAGATAGTGAATTTCGAAATTGTGTGTTTTGGAGTCTGCTTCATGCTCCTTAAATAATTTGTGAAGAGGTATGAAGAAAATGTAGGTGCTGGTTTAGAAAAGGCACCTTGAACAGTCACAATTTTAAACATTGTGACTGTTTAAAAAGTAGTTAACTGTTGGTGACTGTTAACTTTGAATTGTGCCTCTTGATTACACCCGATCAAATCGTGACCGTTGATCTCATCAACGGTGATCAACGGTCATCAACACACCAAAACCAGAGTCACCCATCGCGAGCCACGCGAGTGCGAGTGCGCCTACCTCTATTTTTCTTTTTTGGATAAACCCTGTACTGATGAAAAAAAATTGTGCTTCTGAAATTACGAGTGCGCCCACATCATATCCCAATCGTGTATTTTATCTGAGATGATACCGTCATCGTGATATTTTCCTCATGTTTTACATCAAGTGGACTCTCCCGTCCAAAATGAGACCTGATGAGCTACAATCCATATGTTATATAACGCAGGCTGCACTTCCATTGGAGTTGTAACACGCAGATGGTTTCAAGTGACGTATCAAAAAGTAATGCAACTCCCGCTAACTTATTTTCTTAACATTTTTTCAATCAAAAGAATGAAAGAAAAACTTTAAACTTATCCGTTAAGCTTGTCGTTGACGAGTTGTTCCAACTTGACAAAAGTACAAGTGGATTATTATGTATCCTAATAAAGAAACTTATACAGTATTAAACAGATTACATTAGTCAATGTAAAGCCAACTTTGACAAAAGAAATACAAATTCATACTGTATTAATCAGAACATATTACTCAATGTAAAGCCAAGTTAAAAAAAGTTATCATACCAATTCTATGCAAGGTTTTAAACTTAACCAAACAACGAATTGGTCAGGGGTTCGGTTCTTGGGTTGAATGGTCTAATCATTCAAATTGAATGGACGGCCCATTCTGATAAAAAATAAAAAACAGTCAAAATCAATTTGAACGGTTTGAATGCCCAGGTTAATGGTTTTTGACAAAATAACGGTTCTGGGATAAAACAGAACCGGTTCCCAATTTTCCAATTTGACTACCCGATCCGATCCAATTTTGAAAAGCATGATTCTATGTAACCTTATAATTCATCCATAATTTTAGGCTTAGACAAGTAGAAATATAAGTGGGCTCAAGTGTATTCAAATGAAGAAGCTTAGGGTCCATTTGGTTCATAGATTGAATTGGTTTCAGAATGGTCTAATCCTATGGTTTGTTAGGTTTAGATAGGAATTGGAATCAACTAGGATGGGATTTCATTCCCAAGGGAGGAGGGAAATGGCTATTCCCTTAGATGAAAATGAGAAAGGGTTGACAATTAAAAAATGACCCAAAAACAAAACCATTCTAGCCACTGATTTTCGAAATGGCGGTTCGACCGTCCAATTCAAATGAATGGCCCATTTTAACATAAATTTTAAAATTTTTTTAAATAAATAATAAAATAAAAATAGCCAAAAATCGTTGAACGGGTTAACGATTTGATTGCCCAAGTCAATAGGTCATTGACTGATTCAAAGGTTTTTGACCAGAAACTAAGTTTGAGGTAAAACGAAATCGCTCTGCACGGTTCTCGAGCTGAATGGTCTAATCATCTAAATTAACAACGGTTCAAAAACGATGAATAACTTAAAGCTTTTCTTTTATTTTTTAGGTTTCAAAGAGGGGGCAAAGTCCAATTGAGTTCAAAAATATAGAAAAAATAAGTAACAAAAGTTAACACTCCTTGTCTTCTACTTTTTTTGTACGCCACTTAAACCATCTATGTATTACAACGCGGATGGAATTGCAGCCCACATTGTAACATGTAGATGTATAACCCAGCTGAACTCGGTTGGAGGAGCCTCCAACTCCTATCAGTTTTCACTATTGGGTAGGCGTTAGTATTTGATGGTGTTTGTCTAAAAAGTGGCACCAATGCCAATATAGTCATTTCTCCTAAAACGCGGTTTTTTCACTATTCAGAAAATAACCAAACAGGTCTTTTATTAGAAAAAATAGGGGTTTTCTCTATTGTTTCCAATAAAGACAGACCTACCTATATAGTTTGTTCCTTGTGTATTCTCAACTCTCAAGACAACTCTTTGCCGATATTAGTAATTGTAATTTGGGCTTAGTGCCATTTAGGTACCTATGCCATTTTTTAGCATACCAATCCAATACCTGCCCTTAATCAGTCGTCAATCAACCATCAAGTGGCATTTGAAAAGACACAAATGCCTTTACAAGGTATTAACAAAAAATTTTCCCTTTTTACTTAAAAGGATAAATGAACTGCAATCTACCTTAGAAATCTGAATTACAGCTCCCTCCTAGTTTACTAGTAGCCCCCCGATAAACAACATCCTTCTTCTATTGTGAATCTTTTGTATATCTTTTGTCGGCAATGTTTATTTGTTATTTCTAAAATATCATTAAGAGTTTCTTGTAACACTTTTAAATATAAAATCCTCCCATGCTGATATTATTTTATTTTGAAAATAAAGCCAAAGGTAATGTTGAACATAAAAAAAACCACAATTAAAGAAAAAAAAGGAAAATAACAAAAATAAAAATAAAATAGATAATAATAGAAAAAAATATTCTTATTGCATATTTTATTTTTATTTTCAGTTTTAATTTACTATTTGTCATTTGTTGTTACTGTTTTTTTTTATGCTATTTTGATCAAACGGAAATGAGGGCCAAAATGTCATTTTACACTTCTATCTAAAAGAACGAGCAATAAGCAAAGAGATTACAAAATAGAGAGATCTTAGTAATACACAAAAAATAGGAATAGGTCTTCGAGCAAAAATAATGATTAAACAATGGAGAGGAGACGATGATGGCCAAGACGAGAAGAGGAGCATTGAGAAATCAGGTGATATTCGGAATGCTTTGATTGGTCATAGATTTTCCCTTATAAGAATATCATACCATTCATATAGATAAACACATCGACCAATAGATCAACCTCATGGCCAGACCATTTGGCCGATTCCCGATTATCCAGTGCCCTTTCAGATTATATGACCTTTAGGCTCCAAAAAAAACATTTAGCATGCATTTCTACCTACGAAATATTCCGATACATTTCTTAAAAATATAAAGTATCTAACGGTACACATGCCAAAAGTTATAACCAAGCCCACACAGGATTTCGGCAGGCAATCCACTGAAGCTGTACTCGGGCCTTGCACAAATTCCTCGCATGACAAGGCAAACAATCCATCCCTACAATGCCTTAGTCGAGGGTCAAAACGTTCCATCCTTACAATGATTCTACTCCTAAACCGAATTCAAATCAGCCCCCCACAACATCTTAATGTGCTGTAGAACGTTGTGGGGGGCTGATTTGCTCTCTCCTAAACCAAACAGAAAACTCTTAGAGCTGAAGTGTAAGAAACCAACTCATAGAGGTACAGAGGCATCGCATACTGCATATCTTTTTTTGTGGAAGCAAAATCCAACATAAATTTTGGGAGTTCCGCTTCAGTCCAGGCGCGCTGTGTTCAGGCAATCGAAGGACGCGCCACATGTCTCCGAATCGTGCAAAGGGCCAAATCATGTAAGAAGTTAAGTAAAACACGAGTTTTGCTCCTTCTCACCTCTCCTCTCCTGTGACAAATCTCACGCTCTCTCCCCATCCACCCGGTGGCGACAGTAAAATCACCACCCCAACGACAAACAATCATCACGGGTGGAAGGATTTCAGCAATTTACATGATCATCAACCTGAAGTTCAGAAGGCTTCAGATCATCTTATATGCTGCAAAAAAAAAAAAGATTTTGTGATCTTGAAACTTTGAGTTCTGTTTTGATAATCGTGCTACTTCCCAAAGCTCAGTTCTCGACGGAATTTCAATTCATCGGCTCACCAAAAGTATTATTTGACTAAAGTTTGAGGATATCAGTAGAACTGCCGTATTATTTCGATAATCGTGCTACTTCCCTCTCTCGTCCACATCGCCATGGCTCTCGACATTGAGTACCTCCGTGGCTCCATCGCCGCCGTTCACTCTATCCTGCAGCATTCCCTCTGTCCCAAGAACATTTTCTTCCATTTTCTCGTGTCGGAGTCGGAGACCAATCTCGAAACCCTAGTTCGTTCTACGTTCTCGTAGTTGAAATTCAAAGTTTATTTCTTCAATCCGGAGATTGTTAGGAACCTGATCTCCACTTCGGTGAGGCAAGCTGGAGCAGCCCTTGAATTACGCTAGGAATTATCTCGCGGACATTCTCGAGCCCTGCGTTCGCCAGGTTATATATTTGGATTCTGATCTTGTAGTGGTAGACGATGTTTCGAAACTATGGACGACCTGCCTCAAGTTTAGAACAGTAGGGGCGCCAGAGTACTGCCACGCCAACTTCACCAAGTACTTCAGGGAGAGTTTTTGGTCGGACAGGCGGTTTTCCGGCACGTTCACAGACAGGCATTTGATTTGCTTATATAATTGGATCAAATATGAAACATGGATTCAGTCCTACCTAATCTGATATAATGACATCCAACATATTGCATCTTTTTATTGAAATTGGTTTCAATGTTGTTACCATTACTAAAATACCATTGGTTCAAGTCTCATGAAAGCGCTTTTGAATTTGATTAGGTAGGACAGAAACTGTTTGGCACCATTGCTATAACCTTCAAAGCTTTTTCTTTGGGTGTGAAATTAATGCAGAAGCAAACTTCCAGCAAAACACACAATAAGCTTTCTAAGTTTCTGTGTAGCTTATACCAAGAAGGGAAAGGCATGCCCAGTGGTCTTATACAACCCTTACACTATAGTATCCAAGCAAACAGCAAGAACAACTCAGAGAGGAAACTAGTACTAAGAACAAATATTGAGAATATTAACACATGAATCAGCACTCATCAATGAAATAAAATCAAGCTTATAAATACTGTTTTTCTATAAAACGGAAACAGCAGATATGCTTGTATAGCACATTTAACTTTACGATATACAAACACTTGCATACTTTGATTTCAGGTCAACATTTGTTAGCACGTCATAATGGGATAACGTTTAGAGGTTTTCATTTCGAAATCCAAGCCTAATTCACCCAAATCCTAACCGTCTTTATCATTACCGAGTAAGTTGTCGGAAACAAATTAAAAAATTCAGACCAACTGATATGAACAAAATCCATTTAGCCTAGCAACAAATAATAAGCACTGTAAGACCATAGCATACATCAAATAAAGACTCAACCAAAAATCATGAAAAAGTTCCCATGTATATATCACCAGACAGACTAATGAAGACAACCAAGTACTCAATTGATACTCTGAGTCATTTCACTTAAATTTTAATATCCAAAATTTAAACCCTAATAAAAGGAGAAAAAGGCAAAAATATGAGTAGCGGTTCCGGTCACCATACATTACTAAATCTAAGCGGTGAGTACGACGGCACCACCGGCCTCCTTTATCTTCTTCTCCGCATTCTTGGATACGAGCTTCGTCTTCACGACGATGGGCTGAGATGGAGGTAGGACACCCTTGCCCAGCACCTTGAAGTAACCGAACTGGGTAACATCGACGAGGGGGACGTTATCGGCGGAGGCCTTGTCCTTGACATCTTGAGGGATCATAGACCAGAGTTTGTCGATGTTGACGATGGGGCAATAGAACTTGTTGCGAAGCTTATGGAAGTAACGCATACCCACTTTACCGAAGTAACCAGGATGATATTTGTCGAAGAGGATCCGGTGGTGATGCATGCCTCCGGCGTTACCACGACCTCCCGGGTGCTTCCGGTGCTTCCCGATTCGGCCGTGCCCGGCGCTGACGTGCCCTCTCTTCTTCCTGTTCTTCTTGAAGCGGGTCGTCATTTCTCTCTCGCTCCAGAGCGGCGGCCAGGGAAGAATTGGGGTTTTACATGATCTTATAGTTTGGTTTGTTTACCCATTTTGCCCTTAATTCCTTTCTTATTTTACATAACTACGAAAAAGCCCTAATTGTCGAGTTCACGTTTGCACCCCACATGCACATCTCAGTGTGCACCCGAGATGCTCTCAATACACGACTACGACTGGGACGTATTATAGGGCATCCGTTGAGAATTGGGATGTGCTATTCATAGAGCGCTCCTCAAATCAACCTCACAGACACAATTTGTCATATGTTGGGAGCATCTCCCAATGAATAATAAATACAAGTGCAGAAGATGTTTCTGCTGTGCGACCATGACATGCTGTGTGATCGATGTGAGGAGCAGATCCAAATTTACCTGTGGGGATTGTTTTATGGGGCTCGGATATGTTACCTACTACTTGTTATAGCATCCCTACTTTAATTACATCTACACATCGAGAATATCTCCCTTGTCATTTTATGGGGAGATGTTCCCAATACATGGTGATGGTGTTCTTTGAGTATAGATGTGGGAATAAGTTGTGGGTAGTAGATCTATAATGTGTTCGGGGGTGCTAATGTGATCTCTTAATTGTCATCCATAAGGAAAAATTTTGCTTAAGGTCGCATTTGTTTTTGATGTAAATAAGAAGTAGGGTAAACTTTACACCCTAGTTCAAATTTTGCTACATTTGTTTTAGGTGTTGTTTTACACTGTAAATTAGTGTAAAACTCCACTTAGGGTAGGCTTTACATCGAGAATCGTTGGAAAGTTCCCATCAATAAAATCGATGAAAATCTCCACCGTCTTTGGTGTAAAACTCTGCAACGGTCAAATAGCCTTTGCTCCGTCATTATCTTTTTCGGCAACCATTTCACCGGAGAATGGTATCATTCGAAGAGGAAATTATTCAAAGCACCAATCCATTTGACCTATGTTGTTCATTACTGCCAACCCTATACCCACACTACAAAGAAACGGCATGAACAATATCCATAAATCCAAGGTCTCGATCACTTATAGGATCAAGTGTTCTTCTCCTATCACAGGGGGCAACAACCTCATCTCCACTTCCCCCATCTTCACATGCGGCTTTTGCTGCTATGTCATTGGTGTGGTTCCATGAACCAACAACAGATCCTTGATTTGATGTTCAAGATCTTTGGATCTCGACTTCAATCTCCAGTTCCATTATGCAAAGTACAACGGGATAACCAAGCATGCAATTAGCAGGATGAGAAGCACGAAGGAAAAAGCGACGAAAACAAGACGACCATGGTTTCTGGTGACGTCGAAGGCCAAGAGATAAACAACTATAATGATGGTGATGACTTTGAAGATATTGAAATAATGATCTTCTTTCTCTTGGGGCAGAGCCAGAGGACAATGGGACCTCACAGAGAAAGAGGACACCGGTGAAGTAGACTAAGGTAGAGAATATAAAGAGAGAGAGAGAGAGAGTTGTTCCCGGGTTCATAATTTCCAAAGAAGAAATTATCTAGCAATGACACATTAATCTTTGGCATGGTGTTGCTGGGATAGGGAGAGTTCCAGAGCATAAACAGAGTAGAAGCCTTTTACTTTACACTATGATGGCCAAACATCATCAGCATAAAAATTTAAATCCACCTCGTTCTATTTTCCATCGACCACTGAACCAGCACTAACTTTTTCGTCGGTGTAAAACTGAATTTACACCTGAAACAAACACAGCCTAATTTGATAAAAATATAAAGGGAAATGACTATTTAAAATACCTAGAATACCCTCAATAAGAAACACCTAATATGAGGGCCCTGAACCTTAAAGATCACCCCTATTGCTACTGCCTGCTTGTCACAAGTGAACACTTTGCCACGCCATCAAGCACCATCACCACGCCCACAACATGCCATCCGAGTGTCCAAGTGTGTGTCTTGGGTGGGACATTACATGTATCTTGTATGGGGGAATGCCAATGGCAATCTTGTAATTCCATAGTATGATTATTCACCATTTTCATGTTTCTTATTGTCACTCCCCCAAAAGCTTAACATACTCTTTGAGCGGAGGTAGGTAGTCGAGTGAATCAGTAGTGTGTAAAGGTTAAGCATGAGATCCCCTCGACAGTAAACTGTGTGCTTATGCTTGCCACCAATTTATGTAATACAAAGTGTCTTTTGACTAATTCGTGTGCCATCTTGTTGCCTTTTCTTGTGTTGTTGCTTGTTGCTTAGGCTTACTCAACACAATCGAGTGCCACACGGGGCCCAAACGACTAGCCCCGTGACAATTGGTATCAGAGTAGGAGCTCCTACATGCACATTGGACCTGTCCACTACTCCTCACTCAGCACAATGAAGAGCAACCGCGACATTGCCGATGACATACTACACGGGCTGCACCAAGCCCATGACACCAATGAGGTTCCATTCAACGAACCTGCCAAGACAGAAGCACCGAAGGGCTGCACAACTAAATCTAGCAAGCGTGACAAATCGATCGACCAACTAGCTAGCATGGACATGCGCATCCTACATTGCAAGGCGATAGTAGGTGAAACCAAAGATCAAGTGGATGAACTACACCATAACCTGGAGACTGTTGAGAATGCAGTGGTTGAACTAGAAGGGCAATTCAATTGCGCCTTCAGAGAGATGCACGCCACCTTACAATGCTCGGGAGCGGGGCCTTCCCACAATAGCTTACAGGGCATGCTAGACAGATTTCAAACACAACTAGACGAGACGAGAGATGAGATGACTCTTCTGAAGAGGGTGGTGGCCAACTCTACCATCACTTCCGCCACCCTAGCTCCCATGCACATCAAGATCTGTGAGCCAACACCCTACTCAGGCACTCGGGATGCTAGGGAGCTTGACAATTTCTTGTGGCAACTAGAACAATATTTCTCAATCGTTGGCATTATTGATAAACAAACTCAGGTACGTACAACTGCTATGTATTTGAATGATGTTGCAATGTTGTGGTGGCGTAGGTATTGTCAAGACATTGAACGCGACACCCGCACCATTGACACCTGGGCTACATTCAAGAATGAGATCAAGCGTCAGTTCTACCCTGAGAATGTGGAGTACCTGGCGCGCAGAAAAATGAAGAACCTTAGATAGCAAGAATCGCTACATGACTACATTAAAGAATTTTTGGCCTTGACGCTTGAGATCTCCAACATGTCAAACAAGGACCTCTTGTTCAATTTCATGGACGGTCTCAAGCCCTAGGTTGAGCTTGAACTTCAACGGCGTGGTGTGAAGGACCTTGCCACAGCCATGGCTGTAGCTGAGCAACTTGTCAATCTAAGGACACTGGATGAAGAAGGCCAAAAGCCATCCAGCCTATGTACCATGAGTTTGAGTAGGGGAGATCAACAATCGGCCTCCACACAAGAAAAACCAATGCACAGTGACAATCCAAACAATTATCAACAAGGAAGGAAGCCACAAGGAACCTACAACTATCAAAGCCACCGGTACACTAGGAGACCTGAAATTCCTCCCTCACCTTGCTACATTTGCAATGAAAAGCACTGGACTAGCGATTGTCCCATGCGAAAGAAGATCAATGCCCTCATCGCCAAACTCAGTGATGAAGAGAAGCCCGCACCAGCACCAAGAGTATGTGCCCTCCAACTTATAAATGCCAGGGTAAAGAAAGAGGCCACATCCAAGCGGCCCACCAAATCCCACAAGGGACTAAAGTATGTGGACATCACTCTCGACGGGAGGCCGACCCAAGCATTGGTGGACACTGGGGCCATCCATAACTTCATCTCGCTTGCAAAGGCAAAGCGACTTGGCTTGACCACCACCAAACAAACCGGGTGGATCAAGGTTGTCAACTCGGGGGCCAAAGCAATAGAAGGCATGGCTCGTGGAGTAAACCTACAAGTGGGACCATGGAAAGGCAATGTCAACTTATCTGTGGTTCCCTTGGATGACTTTCAAGTGGTCCTTGGAGTAGAGTTCCTAACACAGGAAGAAACAGCCCTCGTGCCGCACCTTGACCATTTACTCATTTTGGATGAGCATTCTCCATGCATGATCCTAGTGACATCAGCCCTCCAGGTACATGGGAAGCAGCTTTCAGCCTTACAGCTGTACCAAGAGACAAGCGAGCATGAAGCCAGTGCCATGCCAACAATGAAGACCCCCACTCCAAGATCTCACAGCAACACCGAAGCGGGTTGGACAGTAGTCACCAAGAAGAAGTCTCCCCCCAAGCAGCACCAGCACCAGCAGCTGAACCGGCACCAACAATTGCACCAACTCCAGCATCAACATCAACAGAAGCTGCATACGCCCGCAACTAATGGGCCCAAGACTCCTGGAAGACCCAAGGCCTTCTCCAGCCACACCCACCTTCACAATGACCATCATCAGGAAGATCGAGTACCACCAAATCCACTTAGGTACCCTGTCCGCCACCACATTGATCAAGTCAACTCTCATAGGAACCTAGTGAGGAGTAACCCTTGGGAGAAAAATCATCATGGGAACCAATACCCAAAAAATCCAAACCTTGATTTTGACCTAGCCTTGGCCACAACCTTACCTTCCATCAAAACCGGACATCCAAAATCCTACCTCGAAGCATGCAAGCAAGGACTAAACGTTTGGACTAGCCATAAGTTTTCCTACCATCAAGAACACCCTAAAGCCTTTCACCCAACCTTATGCCTGGGCCTTAGAAGAGACCAAGTTCGTGGAGCAGCTGAAGAACCTTCCTTCATCAATAAGCAAATTTGAGCCACAAGCAAAAGCCGGTCTTCGAGGACAAAGACTAATTGAGTGGGGGAGAATGTCACAAGTGAACACTTTGCCATGCTATCAAGCACCATCACCACGCCCACAACATGCCATCCGAGTGTCCAAGTGTGTGTCTTGGGTGGGACATTACATGTATCTTGTATATGGGGGGAATGCCAATGGCAATCTTGTAATTCCGTAGTATGATTATTCACCATTTTCATGTTTCTTATTGTCACTCCACCAAAAGCTTAACGTGCTCTTTGAGGGGA